GTGGTCGTCTCAGACGATGCCATGATTTGGAAGCTGCTGTGATACATCCAGTAGTATTGGACCCTAAACATCCAGTCACCAGACTACTCATCCGACAGGCTGACAGTGATTTGAAACACCCAGGAGCAGAGAGATTGTTTGCAGAGTTGAGAAGGAAATACTGGATTCTTCGCGGCCGTGAAGCCGTAAGAAGCGAACAGCGCTCCTGCCCTGAGTGCCAAAAATGGAGAGCCCAACCTGCCAACCCAAAGATGGCTGACCTTCCCCTTGCACGCCTACGATTACATCAGCCAGCCTTCTTCTCAACAGGCATCGACTGCTTTGGGCCAATGCAGGTGAAAGTTGGTCGGAGAAATGAAAAACGCTGGGGCCTGCTCTTCAAATGCTTGACGACTCGTGCCATTCATATTGAGGTGTTGTCTAGTATCAACACCGACTCATTTCTAATGGCATTAAGAAGATTTGTCTCTCGTCGTGGGAAACCAGCTGAGATACTGTGTGACCAGGGAACAAATTTCCGAGGTGGGGATCGGGAGCTCCAGGAAACTTTCAAAGCCCTGCATCCCTCTTTACAAGGCAAGTTAGCAGAGCAGCAGATCAAGTTTCGATTTAACCCTCCCAGTTCTCCCCACTTTGGAGGATCCTGGGAGCGAGAGATCAGGTCCATAAAGGCAGCTCTGGCCTCCACATTGGGCTCACAGGTTGTAAAAGAGGAAATACTCCAAACAGTGTTGATCGAGATCGAGGGAATACTCAACTCGAAACCTTTGGGGTACGTGTCATCAGACGTGGCTGACCCAGACCCCATTACCCCAAATTTGTTGCTGATGGGGCGGCTAGACCCTTCCCTACCCCAAGTGATATACCACGACTCAGAGCTCATTGGACGACGATCATGGAGGACCTGTCAGGTGTTATCCGATCGCTTCTGGACACAGTTCATACGCCACTACCTGCCTACACTGCAGACACGGTCAAAGTGGCAGAAAGACACTGCTCCGATCCAGCTGGGCACTGTGGTGATGATAGTGGATCCCCATCTTCCCAGAGCATCATGGCCTGTTGGGAAGATCAACAGGGTATTCCCCGGAGCTGATGGTTTGATCCGATCTGCAGAAGTGGACGTAAAGGACCGTACCTACGTACGCCCAGTGAGCCGCCTTATTCGACTACCTGCAGTACCAGAACAAAATGGACAGTAAATGACATTCTGCAAACTTGCGAGGGCAAGTTTGGGGGCGGCTGTTCTGAAGGCAGGACTGTGATGCAGTTTTCTGCCTCGCCACTAGAGGGCGCGGCCGTTTTGTGAGTAATGTTTGACTGGGATGGAAAATGGTGTTCATGAAGGCAGTGTGAATCACAAGTTATGCTCGGGAGCAGTTTATGTGGGTTCAATGAGAGTGTGCGTCCATAAGACTGAACCACACACACACACATACCCACACCCACGCTAAATCTGCCATTAAAGAGCTGAACGATCATCCCCTGTCCTCGTTAATTTCTGGAGGGTCATAGTGGCACTTGACCTGTGCACACCCTGCGATCACCACCGTAGAACTGAACCTCATATCAGAAATCATCATAACAGTCCGATTCAGTCTAACATCTGTAAAAGTTTTAAGGCACTTTCCACCAGCACTATCAAAACATGGGCCAGCAGCCAGAATCACTGCTTAAGAGTCCAATTGGATTGCTTTGGGAAATCGGAACTGTACTTTTATACAGTTATCATAAATATTATTACCCCACATATACAATTCAAATTTTATTTCTTGCAATTTAAGTCTCAACAGACTTTTTTCCCCATTTACTACAGAATGTTGTTTATCATTTAGATAAACTGAGACAAACAAAACTGCATTTCTTTTTCTGATATTAAGATATTCCAGGGATTAAATGTGTAGTTAAACTTCTTTTCACTGACAGAAAGGGAAGTTTCGCTGGTCCGGCCCACTCAAGGTCAAAGGCTATATGTGACTCACAATGTAAAATGAGTTTGCAGTTTTGTTTTGTTTTTAAAAAAGCATAAGTTTAAGAGCACATTGTCAGCCCCATTTCTTTTTAAAAAATGTAAATCAGATTATATCATAAACAATAAAATTCGTCATTGTTTTGAAATCTAAGGTGTTACTGTTTGTCAAAGTGTTGCAACATGTTTAAGATTTCCCAAGTTGGGTAGTTTTCCAGTGTAGCCTCATGTGACCCCTGTTTTCAGAGTTGGTAATGATGTGTTGTGCAAGATTTATACTTGAGGGAAGAAAACTCAGTATTCAAACACATTTACTCCTTTTTCCATATACATGCAACTCAGGAATTTGAATCAAATGCTTACTCAGCTCTTACTCAGCCATCTGATCCTCGGTCCTGCCCAGTGAGGTCAATCAGCTTTCGGTTATGGGTCACTGGGTGGATTCTTAAACTGTGCACAAGTATTTCTGAAGTCATCAATATGAAAGATGACGGGAAATGAATCTCTTATTTCATTAAAAGGTAATTCTCTAATGTACCAGAAAAAAACAAGAGGTAGAACTGACTTTTATTTCCAAGTATGTTCTGAGTAGTAAGCTGTCAATTGTAGTGTTATTTATACGAAGAGACAATGAAGTTAGTGCAAACACATATACGTCAAACACACTGAAAACTGAGGCTTTTTTCCACTGGTTTGTGTTTATTACTGTATGATTATTGGGAATACATGCTGGGACAAGACAAATTTCAAGCATTTGTTAAATATGACTTTGACATTTAATATTAATCATGCATGTATGCAAACATGCAAGATGATTTCCACTGCCGCTTAGAAGTCATGCTTAGCTGGTCTTTGCCTTCCACCGTACCCGACATTCACGATGGGCCAGCCTGGGTAAGTCTCTCTTTGGACCGTGCTGAAGTTGATCCTGTGAATCAGAAGAATCAGAGCACGCAGACACAGAGTAGCTGCTCCCTACATGAAGGACACTGTGATGATGATAAACCTGCTCTCACCTGAACGCAGGGTTAATGCCAATGTTGTCAGGCTGCGGGAAAGCAGGTGTCCGCCTCCTGTGGCAGGAGGATGGGGGAGGGAAGTCTTTCTGATACTGAGACTGCATCTGGGCTGTTTCCTGTTCGTTTTTTGCTGCTGCTGACATGTGATCACGGTTGCCTTCTTGCTCATTCCCTCTCACTTCTCTGTCCTCGCGTCTGTTTCCTCTTCCTGTTTATCATGAGGATGCAGGAGGAGAATGGTGAGATTCCTGTTGTGTGTTACAGCCTGCTGAAGGGTAATCAGAACTTTGCTAAAGGCAGAATTTCATCAACAGTAATCACACTTTCCATAAATAAACTTTCTTACTTTCTTGATCATACTACATGTATTACACTATTTGCTTTTTTCATTTTAATCTTGAGAGAATAATACTTTATACATAAATGAGATGAAATGTTCTTATGAATATAAATCATTTGCTTTGGATGTCGCAGAGCTGTGTGAAGGACACGGGAACACATACACAAATAATTACTGCTGAGGGCAATCCAATCCTGTGTCTGTGAGTAAGAGTGGCAGGAATTTCACTGCACAGCAGAGAAAACAATATCACTCCTCCAGATGCTCTGTGTCTATAACAGCATTTTCACATTTAACCTTATATGGTCTTTCTTATGTTCTATTTGAGGTATTAAATACTTTATTACAGTGTTTTTCAGTTTAATGGCAGTGTAGGTTTTTTTTTAATCTAAGCTTTAATCACAAAATCACCTTTATAATCTCTACCATCTCTGCCTTCTCACTCATAGCACACTGCCCAAACCATTTCCAAGACACACACATGCACTGAACAGAAAGCCACAGCCTTGCGTGCCATCATAAATGAGTCTTATCTTTATACAGACATGATGAGTTTACTCTCTAGGGTGAGCCAAGTCTGTTGACCTTTGCCTGGATCTTGGTCTGGGATAGGCCTGAAGCAGAAAGCCTCACGTGATGTGGTCTCCATCTTAGCAGGTGTGTCCGGGTAGAGGAGGAATCCTAAAAAGGGTGAAACGTAGACTGTTGACTCTTGTTCCCCTTTTTTAACCCACTACTTTGGAGTGATTCCAGTTAAATCAAATCAAATCAAATCAAATCACTTTTATTGTCACATCACATGTGCAGGTACATTGGTACAGCACATGTGAGTGAAATTCTTGTGTGCGAGCTTCACAAGCAACAGAGTTGTGCAAAATACAATAATGTAAACAAGCAAAACACAAGAATGGCTACATCTGAAACTAATAAATATATGTACAATATATAATAGTATATGCATTTCTGGATGTGTATACTAAATATTTTCCTACGTGTGTGTGTGTGTGTGTGTGTGTGTGTGTGTGTGTGTGTGTGTGTGTGTGTGTGTGTGTGTGTGTGTGTGTGTGTACACATATTTTACAAGTTTCACAGTTTCTGAAATCTTTCCAGTTAGGTCTCTTTTTCACAGCTTGTTTACTTTGCATATAAATTCTATAAAATATGCTTAATGACAGTGACAATTAATCATTCACACAGAACTGATTTTTGTGACAACAAAACAAAGTTTTATTTCTGTCTGTTTATTTAGTGATGTGCACCGAGATTAAAGCGAGATCAGAAATAATGACGGTAATTTTGAATCCTTTTGTTATTTCTTGACTAGGACATTGTTTCTATTTCTGTTTTACTCTTTTCAGTGTTTATAACTTTTCAGTGTTTATAACAGTGTTTATAACAATTGTTGATTTGTTCTGTTCTCATTGTATGACGAATTATGATGGCTGTTTGGTAGCCGTTTGCATACTATGCATACTCTCTCTCTCTCTTCATATGTGTGTGTGTGTGTGTGTGTACAACAGCTTTATGTTAATGTACAAATATGTTTATGTGGTTTCCATGGTTTTTGCATCTTCTTTAAGTGCGCGTCAGTCCATCTCGGAAATCGACAAGACTGGTAAGCTCTCAACTTGCTCTCCGTCTGATATGATCAGGGTTTTTGTGTGTTTTCTTGAGGTTTTGCGACGCTGCGTGTTAAAGGCCTAGCAGCCGTCATTTAGCCAATGTGAGCCACTCTGTAAGAGCAGGTGGGAGGGAACAGCTGCTTCTGTTGTAAACGTGCTTCCGACTTGGAAATTTCCTCGGTCGAGTGGGTTATCTGGCATTTCCCCTCTTGAGTTTTCTAAACACTAATTTTTGTCGATATTTTAAGTTTGTTAGTTGGACAGAGTTAAATTAGATGTCGAAAGTTACTCTTGTCTACTGGTGTTTGTTATTTAAAAGGAATCTGACAAGATGATTCAAATAAAAACAAACGGTCAAAAACTAATATTTGGCTCTCACTTATGCTAGTCTGTTTTTGAATGTAAACAAATCATCCAATCTAACACAATTTCTGATACTTGTTTGCTGAAAGTTTAGGCGATGGTATGAGGGCAGTGTTTAATATAGCGTTATTTAACTATAAGCTATAAGAGACTTAGAGCTTTTTATTGTCATTGTGCAGTTTTTTGCACAGAGAAATTGGGTATAATCTGTTAATGTGGCTTTTGTATTTAGTTGTTGTTGTCCAAACTCACTGTACTGCTACCTAACCAGTGTAGGATTGATGTAGTATTTAAGTTTTCTTTCCCTTTCCCTTTTCCCAAAATAACAATGAGTTGTTGTTGTTTTTTTTGTTTTGTTTTGTTTTCAGTTCATAAACGTATGTGTCTATGTTCCTAATGCAGCTATGAACAATGACCATAGTTGACAGATCTTCAGAAAAGTCTGACCACGAGTCAGCCGGACTCGGACCTGGAGCTGCTGTGTACAACAGTACACCCTCCTCTGAGGACCAGCCCAAGGACCAAGGGGCTGGTCCTCAGAGTACACCCTCCTCTGAGGACCAGCCCAAGGACCAAGGGGCTGGTCCTCAGAGTACACCCTCCTCTGAGGACCAGCCCAAGGACCAAGGGGCTGGTCCTCAGAGTACACCCTCCTCTGAGGACCAGCCCAAGGACCAAGGTCAGAGCAAAGCCTGGCTTTTTTTCAAAATGTCTTTTTAAGCTGTTTGAAGATTTTTATTGTCAGACAGAATAGTTTTCCAACCAGTTTTAGCAAATATGGAACCACACTTTTTAGCCATTATTTACCCATATTTGTCAGAATTGGTTTTAGTAACGTACAGCTAATCTTTTTGCTTCTGCTTTCACACAAGTTTGACAACTGCTTTTGTGGGTGTTGTGTTGCTGCTTCCCTTCTCCGTTCATTCATCCAGTTATGTAATGCATCCAGCTTTGCATGATCAGTCACTTCAGCTCGTGATGCAATTGCTGTTTTTATATAAAGACCGGCAGCCCAACTTGTTTAGCAGAAACAAAGGAGAAGGCAAATTGTCCTATCTTTCTTCCTGAGGCTGTTTAGGAGTTTTTCACAGTGGCCAGAATCACATTATATAACTGTTAATAGTTGTAGCTATTACTGTGATGTCCTGACATGACTTTGCCATGTGCCAGTGTGTGGTTGTATAAGTAAGGTGGCATTAAATTATCTCCTTTTTAAAATGTATTGAAACAGATTTTTAGTAATAATTGTGGCTCTGTGTGTCAGTGATCAGCAGTGGCGATGGAATTGACTTGCCCCAGAAGGTGCTGTTCTCACCAGATCGGCTCAGCCTAAATTGGGCCCAGGTTCACCTCATTGGTGCAGGCCTCCAGAACATGGGGAACACCTGCTTCCTCAACTCAGCCCTGCAGTGTCTCAGCTACACCCCTCCTTTAGCAAACTACATGCTGACGCGGGAGCACTCCAAAACATGTACGTTTATTTCACCAACAGTGGTGTTACGCAGTCCTGCGCTGATTCTCACATTGTATCACTCCTTACTCACTCAGTATTTTGTCTCTGTCTCTGCTGCAGGTCATGAGTCAGGGTTCTGTATGATGTGTACCATGCAAAACCACATCATTCAGGTTTTTACCAACTCTGGGAATGTCATTAAGCCCATTGGTGTACTCAATGAGCTTGGGTGTAAGTGGATGACTGTTGTTGCTGTGCTCTGTGCAAAGTGTTTACCTATATTTTAATGATAGGAGGCGCTGTGTGACTGTTTACCTTTTGTAATTTTGGAGGGAAATAATCTGGAGGGATTTTGAATTCTGTTTTTAAATAAGTGTAAACTTGCATTTAACTGTGGTATCCTTTACAATAATTCACCTCCTGCTTTGTTTTTTGGTTCTGTTTTTCCTCGTTCCCCTCACACAGGGATTGCAAACCACTTCCGCTATGGAAGCCAGGAAGATGCTCATGAATTCCTGCGGTGCACAGTGGATGCTATGCAAAGGTCCTGCTTACCTGGAACCAAGTGAGTGTCATTTTACATTGCATGCATTCTAAACAAGTTAAACACACAAAAATATTTTTACTTGGGCTTGACAGTGTTTGCACTTTATTATGTAGTAAGATCCATAATTAGCTACGTAGAGGTAACACCGTGACAGTAGGAGAATATGAAATAAATCCTTTATCCTGTTTTTCAGGAAGTGCAGTTTATACTAGTTCCTTTTAACTATTAATGCTTCAATTGCTGAGAGTATTTTTCAGAAATGCAGATTCCTCAGTCTCTTGCCTGACTGACACCTCAGTTTACATACTAGGCAAGCCACTTGATATAATACCTCATTATTATATCAAGTTTTTAATGAACTTGACTGCTCCAACACAGAAAGTATTCTTACACTGGGTGTGGTAGCTTGTTTTGGTAACAGGGCTTGAAAAGATCAGAAGCGGCTTAAACGTGTAGTAAAACAGGTGTCTGGGATTATGGCAGAGAGCTGCCAGACTTAGTGTCTAGTATAGATTTCTTCTGAGGCAACAGGGTAAGCAGTGTGAGCAGGAGCACTCAACCCCTCAGGTCATCTCTTATTCACCCTAATGGCATTAGTGCTATTATTGCAGCAGCAAAATTCAGAAAATCCAGGTTTTTCTATGTGTTACTATAGAGCTTCGAAGTCTATGTGCACATTTAACCAAAACTACACGTTTAACAGATGCACTGGGCTGAGTGTTGTGCTTCTTGTTAGACTCCTAAAAATAATTTATTAATTCATTTCTTTTTTTAAGAACCTAAAGTGTCAATTCTCATCAAATCAATTCTTCCCGTGTAGCAGCAGATGGCCTCTTAAGTAATTAATCGTGCTCCAATTCCTCCTATTGTCTTTTCTGCTACTTGAATACTGTAAAGTGATTGTCTGGTTCCAAAATGCTAAAAAATAAATGGTCAGTCAGTTAACTGTTGCACTGTCCTTATTAGTTAACTTTTGTGCTTTATCTTTTTATTATAGATTGGACAGGCAAACGCAGGCAACCTCTTTCATCCATCAAGTGTTTGGCGGGTACCTAAGATCCAGAGGTAAGTCACTGTTTTTTAAGGTTTGATTTATTTTTCTTTTATTTGCCTTTTTATGTCTTACAGCTTGTGTGATACTCATAGCACTGATTTCTGTTTCAGTTAAATGTTTAAACTGCAAAGCTGTCTCAGATACATTTGACCCTTTTCTGGATGTCACTCTGGAAATTAAGGTAATTGGACAACATTCAAAGTGACGTTGCTACTATGTATTCTCTGCATTATGGAGTGTGAGGTTTTTCCTCTCTCTCTCTGTTCATATAGACTGCTCCAAATGTCTCCAAAGCTCTGGAGCAGTTTGTCAAGCCAGAACAGCTGGGTGGTGAAAATGCTTATAAATGCACCAAGTAAGTCAAAGAGATGCCAAACCATGATGAGTTTTAGTGTTTAGGTGTGATTTTTGTCAACAAGCTGAATGTTTGTTTCCTTCAGGTGCAACAAAATGGTAACGGCCTCAAAAAGATTTACAATCCATCGCAGCGCCAATGTGCTCACCATCTCACTCAAACGCTTTGCAGACTTCAGTGGAGGCAAAATCACAAAGGCAAATGGCCAATAGTGTCTGCTTAAGTCATAAAGATACATGACAGATGCTTTGTTTTATTATAAAACAGGATATTTGCATGTAATGTTTGAATTTTTTTGTTTGGTGGTCATCAGGATGTGAAGTATTTGGAGCATCTGGATCTGCGGCCCTTCATGTCGCAGTCCCACGGGGAGCCCCAGCTCTACAGGCTGTATGCTGTGCTGGTTCACTCTGGATTGAGTTGTCATACTGGACACTATTTCTGCTATATTAAGGTACTGGCTGTGCCCGAATCTGTTTGAATGCTGCTGTTGCGTAGTACAAACAAACAAACACCATAAACAACACATTTCAGCAGAAAACTACTTTGTATGCATTGAAAGAAAGAAAAAAAAGACCCCTATATAACCATAAGATTCTTCTTTTTAGCTCAAATTCAATTCAGAAACTGAATCTGCTGTGTCACATCTCTCTCATTCTGTCTCACAGGCCAGCAATGAGCAGTGGTTTCAGATGAATGACTCGTCCGTGTCAGTCAGTGACATTAGCACTGTTCTCAACCAGCAGGCCTATGTCCTCTTCTACATCAAGTGAGTAAACATCGGTATTTTTAAACATTCTAGGCTTATTCCTTCAGTAGAACTTTTCCCATCATTATTTAATAATGTAGACATGTTTATTTTCACTTTTCTTGTAGAAAATGTATTATTATAACCTAATGTTATAATGTTGATGCTTTGTCATGGTTAATATTCTTTTTTCCATGTCATCAGGTGCACAGATGTGGGAAAAACTGGGGACTACAGCCACTTGAACCATAACGCTGGCATATCTGGTCAGGCATCTCCCCAGCCGGTGGTGAGCCCAGGCACCATCGCCACCATGCCTCACAACAGTGTTGGCTTCATAGGTCCCCAGCTGCCACCACACATGAACAAGGTACTTCCTCACCTGAGGGTACTGATAATGTTGTTGTTTTTGTTAAACCCAGTGTTTCATGCAAAACACATTTGTACCTTTCAATTGTGTCTGTTTGAAAAGAATGAAATGATATCATATATTCCTTATTGGCCTACATTTGTACAAAATTCCAAATTATATACACAAAGTCATAGAAATCACTGCTCCAATTGGTCATCATGATTTTAATATTCTCTTTTTCCATAACAATGAAATACGCCTTGGACAAATATGACACGTCAATATTTCATTAGTGTTGTCACATCACATCCTGTAAGCATCGTCTGTCTGTGTCCTTTCTCTGGAAATTAATATTTCCAGCCAATATAGGCAATCCATCAACATGGCTGGAGAGTTGGTAGTTATATACAGTCTGTATAAGTGTGGTTAATCCAATGAAGATTTGTAAGGAGATGGCAGTTACTGTGAATTTACAGCAGTTACACAGTGATTAGTAATAAACAGAGCCAGTGAGAGTGAGTGGATATAAGAAAGTCAGTGACTCAGGTGTGTCGATTGGTTCTGTTTGTGAGACTGGAGGAGACGTAGAAATCTTTTGTTTTAAATCTTAGTTAGGAAGATTCCTGTTTGAAAACAAGCACTTTTTGTGAGAAATACAAGAAGTACATCTGCAGAAAGCACACAGTTACATTCTGTCCATCATGTGGACAAAATCGAAAATGTTGAGCATTGAAAAACTGAGAACGTTGGGCAAGTTCAAAATACGTGTTTGTAAGAACGAAAAACCAAATTGTTCCTAAAATAGTTATGGAAAGTCACTGTTGTATGTCTGTGTTCTACATGTTTATCTGATGGAAAATAAAGCTGCTATTGTTTTATTGCAGTTTCTTGACAATTCTGAGTGGATTTACACAGTATGGGTCAAAATGACCCGCAACAAAATCAATGTCACTTTTTTGTTTTTCAACATAATACAAGGGTTAATTTCCAAAACTTCCATATGATCTTCAATTTGTAGCAGATCCACTATCACACAGCAGCTGGAGCAGTTTCAAATGGAGGTCAGTCCACTGCTGCCACCTGTGGCCAAATACCATAGCCCACTACTAGATTAACTTGCTATGATGACATTGAGTAGAGGCTGAGTGGCTGCACTTACCCCTGGTACATCCAAATCTACCCACAAACATGTTGAAAGATGCAATGGCAGCAATGTGGCTTGTCAACACTGAAAACAATCAGTAAGCAAAGACATCAGGGATCACTTTTTTCTGTTTATTTAACATGCACAACATTTGTAGTCGCCTTCTGCACAGGGGAAGTCCACACACACTGTGTGGTACCACTTTCCACAGAAGGTGCATTCAATCTACAAGACTGAATGAGAAAGTCAGGGTCATTGTCTGACTGTTTATTACTAATCACTGTGTAACTGCTGTACATTCACAGTAACTGCCATCTCCTCACAAATGTTTATTAGATTAACCACACTTATACAGACTGTATATAACAACCAACTCTAAAATGTTTGTTCGCAGAGAAAAGACACAGACTACGGTAACGACATGTGATGTTACAAAACTAGTGAAATATTAGTGTCATTTCATTCATTTCAAAGGTTTATTTGCATGACGCACAAACAGACACAATTGAAAGGTACAAATGTATTGTGCATGAAACGAATTCAGACGTGCTGCAGATGTGTGTCACAAGTTGATCTGGCTGTAGGCTGTGGCACTTGGCCAGTGGTGGCACTGGTTGACTCGAGTCCATGTTAGTGCACACAAAGTAAACTGCTCGCTTTAGTTGTGAAGCAAAAACGCTGAATTCGGAGAAACAAACCGTGTGAGGGGAACGATAACGACAACAAGAGTCTCCCGATCGTTTACTCTTGTTGTCCTGTGAACAACATCGGCATGGTGTTAATTGTTTGCTGTTTTCGCGATCGCGTCGCGCATGAGGATAACCCTAGGTAAACTCGCCACATTTTTAAACATTTTGTTGTTCAACAGCATCAAGACTGACGGAGTGTGTTTGAGATAACCTCACAAGTGTCACAGATGACACATTTGGCGTTTTTTTGCTAGTCTGTAGGTAGCAGCTCCTGAAACGGAAGTCTGCCACACATCTGTTCGACTAACGCCAGTTGATCTAAACGCCAGTAGATCTGGAACACCGGCAGCCTCGCCTCTGTCAGTGCGCCTCAGGGCGGCTGTGGCTACAATTTAGCTTGCCATCACCAGTGTGTGTGAATGGGTGGATGACTGAACGTGTAAAGTGCTTTGGGGTCCTTAGGGACTAAGTAAAGCGCTATACAAATACAGGCCATTTACTTAATGCTGAAATCTAATCTATTGTATTAAATGGGTATGCTTGTAGTTTGGGTAATTTTGTTATGTCAACAAGTTCTGTTTTAAAACTTAATCTCTTGTTAACTGTTCAGATTGCTGAGGTGATTGATGATCGACCTGAGGAAGTGAAACAGATGGAAGTTTTTAGGACCAGCAACAGATGGAAAGCAATTGGAGGTAAATAAGAAGTCACAGAAGTAGGGGGGGATTTGTGCAATATTAAGTTAAGACTGTTGTTTACTATAGTTTTACTTCCTCTCCTAAAAGTGGATCAAAATGATGACACAGAGGAAGGAAATGGAAAAGAACATCAAAATACAGAGGCTGGCTCATTAAGCAGAGGTCGACATGACTCACCCGAGTTGTCTTCAAAGAGAAGAGGACAGGATTCTCCTGTCAAAAAGACCCGGCATGACTCTCCAGACATCTCGCCACCAAAGAGAAGTCGGAAGTACTCTCCGGATGTCTCTCCTCCCAGGACAAGACGTCACGACTCTCCAGATGTCTCTCCTCCCAGGACTAGACCTCACGACTCTCCAGATGTCTCTCCTCCCAGGAGAAGACGTCATGACTCTCCAGATGTCTCTCCTCCCAGGACTAGACCTCATGACTCTCCAGATGTCTCTCCTCCCAAGAGAAGACGCCACGACTCTCCAGATGTCTCTCCTCCCAGGAGAAGACGTCATGACTCTCCAGATGTCTCTCCTCCCAGGACTAGACCTCATGACTCTCCAGATGTCTCTCCTCCCAGGAGAAGACGTCATGACTCTCCAGATGTCTCTCCTCCCAGGACAAGACGTCACGACTCTCCTGATGTCTCTCCTCCCAGGACTAGACCTCACGACTCTCCAGATGTCTCTCCTCCCAAGAGAAGACGCCACGACTCTCCAGATGTCTCTCCTCCCAGGAGAAGACGTCATGACTCTCCAGATGTCTCTCCTCCCAGGACAAGACGTCACGACTCTCCTGATGTCTCTCCTCCCAGGACTAGACCTCATGACTCTCCAGATGTCTCTCCTCCCAAGAGAAGACGTCATGACTCTCCAGATGTCTCTCCTCACAGGACTAGACCTCACGACTCTCCAGATGTCTCTCCTCCCAGGAGAAGACGTCACGACTCTCCTGATGTCTCTCCTCACAGGACTAGACCTCACGACTCTCCAGATGTCTCTCCTCCCAGGAGAAGAAGTCATGACTCTCCAGATCTCTCTCCTCCCAGGACTAGACATCACAACTCTCCAGATGTCTCTCCTCCCAAGAGAAGACGTCACGACTCTCCAGATGTCTCTCCTCCCAGGAGAAGACGTCACGACTCTCCTGATGTCTCTCCTCCCAGGAGAAGACGTCATGACTCTCCAGATGTCTCTCCTCCCAAGAGAAGACGTCACGACTCTCCAGATGTCTCTCCTCCCAGGAGAAGACGCCATGACTCCCCAGACTTGTCACCACCAAGACAGTGTTCAGGAAAGTCAGAAAAAATGCAAAGTAAAGGTGAGTGATCCATTTAAATTGTAAAGTGGAATCTGGTGTGGCATATGAATAAAAGTAAAAAGCAGAGACCCATTTAACATGAGTTTTGAATTGAAATTTATTTTAAAGACATAGCTTGATCTAATAATAAATCTTTAATTTTTGTTCAAAAGGCATTACAAAATGAAAATTAACAAATTAACTGTGTCTTTGTCAGATTCAGCCTCCAACAAAAGCAAGCTCAGCTCATCCTTGTTAAGTAAAAAACGCTCACCGGATCCTCATCGGTCAGCGGTGGCTAAGAAGGGTCAGAATAGACATGATTCAGACTCGGATCCGTCTCCCCGAGGAAAAGGCCCCTGAAGGGAAACGCCTCAGACTCCGACCAATCTCCCCCAAGGAGGCCCTCAAAAACTAAACGGGGCTCAGACTCTGACCAGTCTCCACCCAGGGGGCAGCCACCGAGTGGAAGGGACTCGGATGGAGATTTGTCACCACCTCGTAGGCCAGGCCAGTCACAGGTAAGCAGACTGTGTTGGAACAAAGATTAATGTCAAATCTGATTTCACTCAAATGTTATATTTTTCAATTGTCTTTTTTTTTTTTATAACCAGGGCCAAAGGATGCTATCTGGTGGAAAGGCAGGCCTGGTTTCTGTGGACATTCTAAGGAAAGAGCAAAAGGAGAACAGACGCAGAGAAAAACACAATCAGCCACTTGAAGGTTTCATCAACTTTTCTCTCTTAAGATTTTTTTACACCCATTGATTGAAGAGCTTCATACAGCTTTGCATCTCATTTCAGCTTATCATCTATATTGTCGTATTTTATTTAGTCCTAAAATTAAATAATGAAGTTTCTACATACTTACCCATTCATCCCCTTTGACCAGATGAATCGCGTAACGCTCAGGCGATTTTCAGAGACAAAAGTGGCAAAAGCAGGGATCTGAATTCAGAGAGAAATGAACAGAAAAAGAAAGCTGGTGAAAAAGCGGCAACAGACGAGAAATACGCTCAGTGGGGAAAAGGGTAAATGTGCATGATCATTTCAAATATCACAGTTTATGTGATTATATCCACATAAAAAATTATAAAAGTGGTTCAATGGTTTATGTTAAAATGTATGTATAGGTTGGCACAGATCCAGATGCATCACCAGAAACTTAAGGAAGCGCTGCGCGAAGCCCTTAAGCCACTTGAGGATCTTGACCGCATGTTGAGAGAACAGGAAAGAGAAGGCGATCCTATGGCTGCAATGCGCAGGCGTAAAAAGGACCGTGGCACAAAAACACAAGATATTTAACTCAAAGAGAAGAGGACAGGATTCTCCTGTCAAAAAGACCCGGCATGACTCTCCAGACATCTCTCCACCAAAGAGAAGTCGGAAGTACTCTCCGGATGTCTCTCCTCCCAGGACAAGACGTCACGACTCTCCAGATGTCTCTCCTCCCAGGACTAGACCTCACGACTCTCCAGATGTCTCTCCTCCCAGGAGAAGACGTCATGACTCTCCAGATGTCTCTCCTCCCAGGACTAGACCTCATGACTCTCCAGATGTCTCTCCTCCCAAGAGAAGACGCCACGACTCTCCAGATGTCTCTCCTCCCAGGAGAAGACGTCATGACTCTCCAGATGTCTCTCCTCCCAGGACTAGACCTCATGACTCTCCAGATGTCTCTCCTCCCAGGAGAAGACGTCATGACTCTCCAGATGTCTCTCCTCCCAGGACAAGACGTCATGACTCTCCAGATGTCTCTCCTCCCAGGACTAGACCTCATGAGATGTCTCTCCTCCCAGGAGAAGACGTCATGACTCTCCAGATGTCTCTCCTCCCAGGACAAGACGTCACGACTCTCCTGATGTCTCTCCTCCCAGGACTAGACCTCACGACTCTCCAGATGTCTCTCCTCCCAAGAGAAGACGCCACGACTCTCCAGATGTCTCTCCTCCCAGGAGAAGACGTCATGACTCTCCAGATGTCTCTCCTCCCAGGACAAGACGTCACGACTCTCCTGATGTCTCTCCTCCCAGGAGAAGACGTCATGACTCTCCAGATGTCTCTCCTCCCAGGACTAGACCTCATGACTCTCCAGATGTCTCTCCTCCCAAGAGAAGACGTCATGACTCTCCAGATGTCTCTCCTCCCAGGAGAAGACGTCATGACTCTCCAGATGTCTCTCCTCCCAGGACTAGACCTCATGACTCTCCAGATGTCTCTCCTCCCAGGAGAAGACGTCATGACTCTCCAGATGTCTCTCCTCCCAGGACAAGACGTCACGACTCTCCTGATGTCTCTCCTCCCAGGACTAGACCTCACGACTCTCCAGATGTCTCTCCTCCCAAGAGAAGACGCCACGACTCTCCAGATGTCTCTCCTCCCAGGACTAGACCTCATGACTCTCCAGATGTCTCTCCTCCCAAGAGAAGACGTCATGACTCTCCAGATGTCTCTCCTCCCAGGAGAAGACGTCACGACTCTCCTGATGTCTCTCCTCACAGGACTAGACCTCACGACTCTCCAGATGTCTCTCCTCCCAGGAGAAGAAGTCATGACTCTCCAGATCTCTCTCCTCCCAGGACTAGACATCACAACTCTCCAGATGTCTCTCCTCCCAAGAGAAGACGTCACGACTCTCCTGATGTCTCTCCTACCAGGAGAAGACGTCACGACTCATGTCTCTCCTCCCAGGAGAAGACGTCATGACTCTCCAGATGTCTCTCCTCCCAAGAGAAGACGTCACGACTCTCCAGATGTCTCTCCTCCCAGGAGAAGACGCCATGACTCCCCAGACTTGTCACCACCAAGACAGTGTTCAGGAAAGTCAGAAAAAATGCAAAGTAAAGGTGAGTGATCCATTTAAATTGTAAAGTGGAATCTGGTGTGGCATATGAATAAAAGTAAAAAGCAGAGACCCATTTAACATGAGTTTTGAATTGAAATTTATTTTAAAGACATAGCTTGATCTAATAATAAATCTTTAATTTTTGTTCAAAAGGCATTACAAAATGAAAATTAACAAATTAACTGTGTCTTTGTCAGATTCAGCCTCCAACAAAAGCAAGCTCAGCTCATCCTTGTTAAGTAAAAAACGCTCACCGGATCCTCATCGGTCAGCGGTGGCTAAGAAGGGTCAGAATAGACATGATTCAGACTCGGATCCGTCTCCCCCGAGGAAAAGGCCCCTGAAGGGAAACGCCTCAGACTCCGACCAATCTCCCCCAAGGAGGCCCTCAAAAACTAAACGGGGCTCAGACTCTGACCAGTCTCCACCCAGGGGGCAGCCACCGAGTGGAAGGGACTCGGATGGAGATTTGTCACCACCTCGTAGGCCAGGCCAGTCACAGGTAAGCAGACTGTGTTGGAACAAAGATTAATGTCAAATCTGATTTCACTCAAATGTTATATTTTTCAATTGTCTTTTTTTTTTTTATAACCAGGGCCAAAGGATGCTATCTGGTGGAAAGGCAGGCCTGGTTTCTGTGGACATTCTAAGGAAAGAGCAAAAGGAGAACAGACGCAGAGAAAAACACAATCAGCCACTTGAAGGTTTCATCAACTTTTCTCTCTTAAGATTTTTTTACACCCATTGATTGAAGAGCTTCATACAGCTTTGCATCTCATTTCAGCTTATCATCTATATTGTCGTATTTTATTTAGTCCTAAAATTAAATAATGAAGTTTCTACATACTTACCCATTCATCCCCTTTGACCAGATGAATCGCGTAACGCTCAGGCGATTTTCAGAGACAAAAGTGGCAAAAGCAGGGATCTGAATTCAGAGAGAAATGAACAGAAAAAGAAAGCTGGTGAAAAAGCGGCAACAGACGAGAAATACGCTCAGTGGGGAAAACGGTAAATGTGCATGATCATTTCAAATATCACAGTTTATGTGATTATATCCACATAAAAAATTATAAAAGTGGTTCAATGGTTTATGTTAAAATGTATGTATAGGTTGGCACAGATCCAGATGCATCACCAGAAACTTAAGGAAGCTCTGCGCGAAGCCCTTAAGCCACTTGAGGATCTTGACCGCATGTTGAGAGAACAGGAAAGAGAAGGCGATCCTATGGCTGCAATGCGCAGGCGTAAAAAGGACCGTGGCACAAAAACACAAGATATTTAACTCAAAGAGAAGAGGACAGGATTCTCCTGTCAAAAAGACCCGGCATGACTCTCCAGACATCTCTCCACCAATGAGAAGTCGGAAGTACTCTCCGGATGTCTCTCCTCCCAGGACAAGACGTCACGACTCTCCAGATGTCTCTCCTCCCAGGACTAGACCTCACGACTCTCCAGATGTCTCTCCTCCCAGGAGAAGACGTCATGACTCTCCAGATGTCTCTCCTCCCAGGACTAGACCTCATGACTCTCCAGATGTCTCTCCTCCCAAGAGAAGACGCCACGACTCTCCAGATGTCTCTCCTCCCAGGAGAAGACGTCATGACTCTCCAGATGTCTCTCCTCCCAGGACTAGACCTCATGACTCTCCAGATGTCTCTCCTCCCAGGAGAAGACGTCATGACTCTCCAGATGTCTCTCCTCCCAGGACAAGACGTCACGACTCTCCTGATGTCTCTCCTCCCAGGACTAGACCTCACGACTCTCCAGATGTCTCTCCTCCCAAGAGAAGACGCCACGACTCTCCAGATGTCTCTCCTCCCAGGAGAAGACGTCATGACTCTCCAGATGTCTCTCCTCCCAGGACAAGACGTCACGACTCTCCTGATGTCTCTCCTCCCAGGACTAGACCTCATGACTCTCCAGATGTCTCTCCTCCCAAGAGAAGACGTCATGACTCTCCAGATGTCTCTCCTCACAGGACTAGACCTCACGACTCTCCAGATGTCTCTCCTCCCAGGAGAAGACGTCACGACTCTCCTGATGTCTCTCCTCACAGGACTAGACCTCACGACTCTCCAGATGTCTCTCCTCCCAGGAGAAGAAGTCATGACTCTCCAGATCTCTCTCCTCCCAGGACTAGACATCACAACTCTCCAGATGTCTCTCCTCCCAAGAGAAGACGTCACGACTCTCCTGATGTCTCTCCTCCCAGGAGAAGACGTCACGACTCTCCTGATGTCTCTCCTCCCAGGAGAAGACGTCATGACTCTCCAGATGTCTCTCCTCCCAAGAGAAGACGTCACGACTCTCCAGATGTCTCTCCTCCCAGGAGAAGACGCCATGACTCCCCAGACTTGTCACCACCAAGACAGTGTTCAGGAAAGTCAGAAAAAATGCAAAGTAAAGGTGAGTGATCCATTTAAATTGTAAAGTGGAATCTGGTGTGGCATATGAATAAAAGTAAAAAGCAGAGACCCATTTAACATGAGTTTTGAATTGAAATTTATTTTAAAGACATAGCTTGATCTAATAATAAATCTTTAATTTTTGTTCAAAAGGCATTACAAAATGAAAATTAACAAATTAACTGTGTCTTTGTCAGATTCAGCCTCCAACAAAAGCAAGCTCAGCTCATCCTTGTTAAGTAAAAAACGCTCACCGGATCCTCATCGGTCAGCGGTGGCTAAGAAGGGTCAGAATACACATGATTCAGACTCGGATCCGTCTCCCCCGAGGAAAAGGCCCCTGAAGGGAAACGCCTCAGACTCCGACCAATCTCCCCCAAGGAGGCCCTCAAAAACTAAACGGGGCTCAGACTCTGACCAGTCTCCACCCAGGGGGCAGCCACCGAGTGGAAGGGACTCGGATGGAGATTTGTCACCACCTCGTAGGCCAGGCCAGTCACAGGTAAGCAGACTGTGTTGGAACAAAGATTAATGTCAAATCTGATTTCACTCAAATGTTATATTTTTCAATTGTCTTTTTTTTTTTTATAACCAGGGCCAAAGGATGCTATCTGGTGGAAAGGCAGGCCTGGTTTCTGTGGACATTCTAAGGAAAGAGCAAAAGGAGAACAGACGCAGAGAAAAACACAATCAGCCACTTGAAGGTTTCATCAACTTTTCTCTCTTAAGATTTTTTTACACCCATTGATTGAAGAGCTTCATACAGCTTTGCATCTCATTTCAGCTTATCATCTATATTGTCGTATTTTATTTAGTCCTAAAATTAAATAATGAAGTTTCTACATACTTACCCATTCATCCCCTTTGACCAGATGAATCGCGTAACGCTCAGGCGATTTTCAGAGACAAAAGTGGCAAAAGCAGGGATCTGAATTCAGAGAGAAATGAACAGAAAAAGAAAGCTGGTGAAAAAGCGGCAACAGACGAGAAATACGCTCAGTGGGGAAAACGGTAAATGTGCATGATCATTTCAAATATCACAGTTTATGTGATTATATCCACATAAAAAATTATAAAAGTGGTTCAATGGTTTATGTTAAAATGTATGTATAGGTTGGCACAGATCCAGATGCATCACCAGAAACTTAAGGAAGCGCTGCGCGAAGCCCTTAAGCCACTTGAGGATCTTGACCGCATGTTGAGAGAACAGGAAAGAGAAGGCGATCCTATGGCTGCAATGCGCAGGCGTAAAAAGGACCGTGGCACAAAAACACAAGATGTTTAACATTACATATGTTTTATTTTATTTATGACTTTATTTTATTTCACCAGGTCAATCCTTGTAAGAAGCTTTTAAATAGCAGCAGTTTTGCTTTTGCTACTGTTTGTATTTTTATTTATTTGTATGTTTGTTTTGATTTTTTGTAGAGAAACCTCAATATAAAGGCCCTGCTCCACCTCCAAACCGGTTCAATATTCCACCGGGGTACCGCTGGGACGGAGTTGACAGGTAGAGTTTGTGCATCGGTGACAGAGGAAAACTGTTGAGGACAGAACTGTAGTTTAATATTGAATGTTTTTAATACACACATCAGTTTGTCATTTTGCACATTAATGGTAAAGAAATTGTGATCATTTTTTTCCACGTCTATATTAAATTTGCGCCTAATTGAATGGATTGTCTTTGGCCTTTTAGCTTGTTGTATCATAATTAATAGGGTTATTTTATTTGTGTCTTGCAGGTCAAATGGTTTTGAACAGAAACGCTACCAGAGGATAAAAAGGCTGTGCAGGAAGCGGCCTATAAATGGAGTGTGGAGGATATGTAAAGGCTTTCAGAAAATGATGAATCTGGAGCAGAGCTAAAGAGCACACCTTCTCAACCTTTATGTATAATTTTTATGCTGTTAGAACAACAAGACTAGATGCATCTACGCAGCAAAAGTTCTTTTTTAAATAAACTACATAGAAGAATTTGTTTCACCTTTCCAAACCCTTTTGATACTGTACCATGTGTATCAGATGGAACTGTACAGAAAAATGAAGTGAAGCATGTTCACAATTTTTGTAAGAAGTTATTCACCGTGGAGCAGAAGCTGTTGTGGTTTCAGTGTTTTATTAAAGAATGTTTTTGTAATGCATTGTCCCAAGAGTGTTCAGGCACCTGTAACTTGGATAGCATTTGACATTCAGTCTTTTTAGATAATTTTATACACTTACCACCCATTTTATTAGGCAACAGTAACTCAAATAACCGCTTGTTACAACCAACATATTTTGGTCCTGGACATAGAAATAGAGACATGTCCCTCATGACTCCAAAATGAAACGTAGTGCACAGCAACCAAATGCTGAAAGAGAGTGTCCACAGCTGACTGTCGATGGTATGGTATAGCTGTGAGGGTTTTGTGTACAAGATAAATGCACATTTGAGAGTTCTGTGGTGTAGCTAAAAAAGACTGACCTACAGAGATGTGAAAAAAGCGGCATTCAAATAAGCCATTCCTTGCCATATTAATCAGGGAGTACATACACTGACAGGATGCTGTGACTCTCACAGTGAGGGAATCAGGTTGGGCTCTAATATTTTTTCTAGCAATGTCCGATTCAGTCTAACATCTGTAAAAGTTTTAAGGCACTTTCCACCAGCACTGTCAAAAAGAATTATGGAAGAATGATTTGTAGAATCAAGGAATCGGTGTCCTGGTTGCACATGCTAGACCAATGGCTTAATAACACAACAATGCTATTGCCTTTAATCTGTCACTATCTATGCTATTGATTATGGTGTAACTATATAAAAAAAAATTTTTTAAAGTGACAGTATTGTGCAATGAATAAAAAGTTTTATTTATAAACTTTTTATTTTTATAAAAAGTATTATTTATTATTAATAATAATTAACCTTACTTCATACTTGCAAATTTGTCGACTGATGCTATAATTAATCTACGTTATCTATTTTTAATTTAAGTTTTAAGTTGGTCTAAGTATCTTAGCACAGCGGAACTCTAGTATCCTTAGTCGGGCGAGTAGGGGGACTTTAAAATGTGACACACTGGACCCCGTTTCATTACGGAATGTTTTTGTTGATGCACTTGGAAGAGTGAATAGATTCAGCGGTACTGGTGTGGTTTAACGCGTAATTGGCGACTAATGCAGAGAAATATTAGCCCTGAAAACTGTTTGTAAAGCCCGCCAGTCTCCTGTGCCATCGTTCTAGTTTAAAATGGCTGACTGGAGTCCGATAGCGAAGGTGTACGACCCGCTGAAAGCTGGTAGCATCGACGGCACAGACGTGGAACCCCATGATCGAGCGGTCTGGAGGGCCATGGGTGCCCGGTACAAGCCCAACAAAGGCGTCGTTGGAGACCCACTGCTCACGCTTTTTGTGTCCCGCTTGAACCCACAGACCACCGAAGATAAACTACACAAAGTGTTCTCTAAGTACGGAGACATCCAGCGGCTCCGGCTGGTCCGGGACATTGTCACGGGTTTCTCCAAAGGATATGCCTTCATTGAGTACAAAGAGGAGCGATCTGTGGTCCGGGCCCGCCGGGACGCCAACAAGCTGGTGGTCGACCAGCATGAAGTGTTCGTGGATTTTGAGCAAGAGAGGACTCTTAAAGGATGGGTGCCGCGGCGGCTCGGCGGCGGGCTTGGAGGGAAAAAGGAATCCGGACAGCTGCGGTTCGGCGGCAGGGACAGGCCTTTCCGTAAACCCATCAATCTCGGGGTAGACCCGGTGCAGGAACGAGGTGGTGGTGGTGGAGGGAGGGAGTGGGACAGACCAAGCGGGAGAGCCAGAGACGATCGGGACCGACACAGAACAGCAGAGTGGGGCAACAGAGGAAGGAGAGATGACCGGGACAGAGGCCGAGAGTGGGATGACCGCAGGCACGGAGACAGGAGCAGGCACCGGGACCGGAGATGAAGCATGTGGCTGCACTTCAGCTTTCAAAGGAGGACAGTGAATGAGTGTGTGACTTGGATAACTGTTTGTGTGAAAGGTTACTTTTTTGTATGCTGATATTCTTCAGATTGTACTGTATGGTAATCAGGACTCTGCCTGTGGCTGTCATATTCAGTTCTTCTCAGGGAAGTCTCAGGAATGACAAAGTAGGGTTGTTGTGTTTTGTTGGGGTTTTTTTTTTTTACAAGTCTTTATTCTAGCGAAAAAATTACAATACGGGTGGTGTCCAGCCAAATGAGACTTACATCCATCATGTCAAACATGAGCGCCAGCAGCCAGAATCACTGCTTAAGAGTCCAATTGGATTGCTTTGGGAAATCGGAACTGTACTTTTATACAGTTATCATAAATATTATTACCCCACATATACAATTCAAATTTTATTTCTTGCAATTTAAGTCTCAACAGACTTTTTTCCCCATTTACTACAGAATGTTGTTTATCATTTAGATAAACTGAGACAAACAAAACTGCATTTCTTTTTCTGATATTAAGATATTCCAGGGATTAAATGCATAGTTAAACTTCTTTTCACTGACAGAAAGGGAAGTTTCGCTGGTCCGGCCCACTCAAGGTCAAAGGCTATATGTGACTCACAATGTAAAATGAGTTTGCAGTTTTGTTTTGTTTTTAAAAAAGCATAAGTTTAAGAGCACATTGTCAGCCCCATTTATTTTTAAAAAATGTAAATCAGATTATATCATAAACAATAAAATTCGTCATTGTTTTGAAATCTAAGGTGTTACTGTTTGTCAAAGTGTTGCAACATGTTTAAGATTTCCCAAGTTGGGTAGTTTTCCAGTGTAGCCTCATGTGACCCCTGTTTTCAGAGTTGGTAATGATGTGTTGTGCAAGATTTATACTTGAGGGAAGAAAACTCAGTATTCAAACACATTTACTCCTTTTTCCATATACATGCAACTCAGGAATTTGAATCAAATGCTTACTCAGCTCTTACTCAGCCATCTGATCCTCGGTCCTGCCCAGTGAGGTCAATCAGCTTTCGGTTATGGGTCACTGGGTGGATTCTTAAACTGTGCACAAGTATTTCTGAAGTCATCAATATGAAAGATGACGGGAAATGAATCTCTTATTTCATTAAAAGGTAATTCTCTAATGTACCAGAAAAAAACAAGAGGCAGAACTGACTTTTATTTCCAAGTATGTTCTGAGTAGTAAGCTGTCAATTGTAGTGTTATTTATACGAAGAGACAATGAAGTTAGTGCAAACACATATACGTCAAACACACTGAAAACTGAGGCTTTTTTCCACTGGTTTGTGTTTATTACTGTATGATTATTGGGAATACATGCTGGGACAAGACAAATTTCAAGCATTTGTTAAATATGACTTTGACATTTAATATTAATCATGCATGTATGCAAACATGCAAGATGATTTCCACTGCCACTTAGAAGTCATGCTTAGCTGGTCTTTGCCTTCCACCGTACCCGACATTCACGATGGGCCAGCCTGGGTAAGTCTCTCTTTGGACCGTGCTGAAGTTGATCCTGTGAATCAGAAGAATCAGAGCACGCAGACACAGAGTAGCTGCTCCCTACATGAAGGACACTGTGATGATGATAAACCTGCTCTCACCTGAACGCAGGGTTAATGCCAATGTTGTCAGGCTGCAGGAAAGCAGGTGTCCGCCTCCTGTGGCAGGAGGATGGGGGAGGGAAGTCTTTCTGATACTGAGACTGCATCTGGGCTGTTTCCTGTTCGTTTTTTGCTGCTGCTGACATGTGATCACGGTTGCCTTCTTGCTCATTCCCTCTCACTTCTCTGTCCTCGCGTCTGTTTCCTCTTCCTGTTTATCATGAGGATGCAGGAGGAGAATGGTGAGATTCCTGTTGTGTGTTACAGCCTGCTGAAGGGTAATCAGAACTTTGCTAAAGGCAGAATTTCATCAACAGTAATCACACTTTCCATAAATAAACTTTCTTACTTTCTTGATCATACTACATGTATTACACTATTTGCTTTTTTCATTTTAATCTTGAGAGAATAATACTTTATACATAAATGAGATGAAATGTTCTTATGAATATAAATCATTTGCTTTGGATGTCGCAGAGCTGTGTGAAGGACACGGGAACACATACACAAATAATTACTGCTGAGGGCAATCCAATCCTGTGTCTGTGAGTAAGAGTGGCAGGAATTTCACTGCACAGCAGAGAAAACAATATCACTCCTCCAGATGCTCTGTGTCTATAACAGCATTTTCACATTTAACCTTATATGGTCTTTCTTATGTTCTATTTGAGGTATTAAATACTTTATTACAGTGTTTTTCAGTTTAATGGCAGTGTAGGGTTTTTTTTTAATCTAAGCTTTAATCACAAAATCACCTTTATAATCTCTACCATCTCTGCCTTCTCACTCATAGCACACTGCCCAAACCATTTCCAAGACACACACATGCACTGAACAGAAAGCCACAGCCTTGCGTGCACTGTGCCATCATAAATGAGTCTTATCTTTATACAGACATGATGAGTTTACTCTCTAGGGTGAGCCAAGTCTGTTGACCTTTGCCTGGATCTTGGTCTGGGATAGGCCTGAAGCAGAAAGCCTCACGTGATGTGGTCTCCATCTTAGCAGGTGTGTCCGGGTAGAGGAGGAATCCTAAAAAGGGTGAAACGTAGACTGTTGACTCTTGTTCCCCTTTTTTAACCCACTACTTTGGAGTGATTCCAGTTAAATCAAATCAAATCAAATCACTTTTATTGTCACATCACATGTGCAGGTACATTGGTACAGCACATGTGAGTGAAATTCTTGTGTGCGAGCTTCACAAGCAACAGAGTTGTGCAAAATTCAATAATGTAAACAAGCAAAACACAAGAATGGCTACATCTGAAACTAATAAATATATGTACAATATATAATAGTATATGCATTTCTGGATGTGTATACTAAATATTTTCCTACGTGTGTGTGTGTGTGTGTGTGTGTGTGTGTGTGTGTGTGTGTGTGTGTGTGTGTGTGTGTGTACACATATTTTACAAGTTTCACAGTTTCTGAAATCTTTCCAGTTAGGTCTCTTTTTCACAGCTTGTTTACTTTGCATATAAATTCTATAAAATATGCTTAATGACAGTGACAATAAATCATTCACACAGAACTGATTTTTGTGACAACAAAACAAAGTTTTATTTCTGTCTGTTTATTTAGTGATGTGCACCGAGATTAAAGCGAGATCAGAAATAATGACGGTAATTTTGAATCCTTTTGTTATTTCTTGACTAGGACATTGTTTCTATTTCTGTTTTACTCTTTTCAGTGTTTATAACTTTTCAGTGTTTATAACAGTGTTTATAACAATTGTTGATTTGTTCTGTTCTCATTGTATGACGAATTATGATGGCTGTTTGGTAGCCGTTTGCATACTATGCATACTCTCTCTCTCTCTTCATATGTGTGTGTGTGTGTGTGTACAACAGCTTTATGTTAATGTACAAATATGTTTATGTGGTTTCCATGGTTTTTGCATCTTCTTTAAGTGCGCGTCAGTCCATCTCGGAAATCGACAAGACTGGTAAGCTCTCAACTTGCTCTCCGTCTGATATGATCAGGGTTTTTTGTGTGTTTTCTTGAGGTTTTGCGACGCTGCGTGTTAAAGGCCTAGCAGCCGTCATTTAGCCAATGTGAGCCACTCTGTAAGAGCAGGTGGGAGGGAACAGCTGCTTCTGTTGTAAACGTGCTTCCGACTTAGAAATTTCCTCGGTCGAGTGGGTTATCTGGCATTTCCCCTCTTGAGTTTTCTAAACACTAATTTTTGTCGATATTTTAAGTTTGTTAGTTGGACAGAGTTAAATTAGATGTCGAAAGTTACTCTTGTCTACTGGTGTTTGTTATTTAAAAGGAATCTGACAAGATGATTCAAATAAAAACAAACGGTCAAAAACTAATATTTGGCTCTCACTTATGCTAGTCTGTTTTTGAATGTAAACAAATCATCCAATCTAACACAATTTCTGATACTTGTTTGCTGAAAGTTTAGGCGATGGTATGAGGGCAGTGTTTAATATAGCGTTATTTAACTATAAGCTATAAGAGACTTAGAGCTTTTTATTGTCATTGTGCAGTTTTTTGCACAGCGAAATTGGGTATAATCTGTTAATGTGGCTTTTGTATTTAGTTGTTGTTGTCCAAACTCACTGTACTGCTACCTAACCAGTGTAGGATTGATGTAGTATTTAAGTTTTCTTTCCCTTTCCCTTTTTCCAAAATAACAATGAGTTGTTGTTGTTTTTTTTGTTTTGTTTTGTTTTCAGTTCATAAACATATGTGTCTATGTTCCTAATGCAGCTATGAACAATGACCATAGTTGACAGATCTTCAGAAAAGTCTGACCACGAGTCAGCCGGACTCGGACCTGGAGCTGCTGTGTACAACAGTACACCCTCCTCTGAGGACCAGCCCAAGGACCAAGGGGCTGGTCCTCAGAGTACACCCTCCTCTGAGGACCAGCCCAAGGACCAAGGGCTGGTCCTCAGAGTACACCCTCCTCTGAGGACCAGCCCAAGGACCAAGGTCAGAGCAAAGCCTGGCTTTTTTTCAAAATGTCTTTTTAAGCTGTTTGAAGATTTTTATTGTCAGACAGAATAGTTTTCCAACCAGTTTTAGCAAATATGGAACCACACTTTTTAGCCATTATTTACCCATATTTGTCAGAATTGGTTTTAGTAACGTACAGCTAATCTTTTTGCTTCTGCTTTCACACAAGTTTGACAACTGCTTTTGTGGGTGTTGTGTTGCTGCTTCCCTTCTCCGTTCATTCATCCAGTTATGTAATGCATCCAGCTTTGCATGATCAGTCACTTCAGCTCGTGATGCAATTGCTGTTTTTATATAAAGACCGGCAGCCCAACTTGTTTAGCAGAAACAAAGGAGAAGGCAAATTGTCCTATCTTTCTTCCTGAGGCTGTTTAGGAGTTTTTCACAGTGGCCAGAATCACATTATATAACTGTTAATAGTTGTAGCTATTACTGTGATGTCCTGACATGACTTTGCCATGTGCCAGTGTGTGGTTGTATAAGTAAGGTGGCATTAAATTATCTCCTTTTTAAAATGTATTGAAACAGATTTTTAGTAATAATTGTGGCTCTGTGTGTCAGTGATCAGCAGTGGCGATGGAATTGACTTGCCCCAGAAGGTGCTGTTCTCACCAGATCGGCTCAGCCTAAATTGGGCCCAGGTTCACCTCATTGGTGCAGGCCTCCAGAACATGGGGAACACCTGCTTCCTCAACTCAGCCCTGCAGTGTCTCAGCTACACCCCTCCTTTAGCAAACTACATGCTGACGCGGGAGCACTCCAAAACATGTAAGTTTATTTCACCAACAGTGGTGTTACGCAGTCCTGCGCTGATTCTCACATTGTATCACTCCTTACTCACTCAGTATTTTGTCTCTGTCTCTGCTGCAGGTCATGAGCCAGGGTTCTGTATGATGTGTACCATGCAAAACCACATCATTCAGGTTTTTACCAACTCTGGGAATGTCATTAAGCCCATTGGTGTACTCAATGAGCTTGGGTGTAAGTGGATGACTGTTGTTGCTGTGCTCTGTGCAAAGTGTTTACCTATATTTTAATGATAGGAGGCGCTGTGTGACTGTTTACCTTTTGTAATTTTGGAGGGAAATAATCTGGAGGGATTTTGAATTCTGTTTTTAAATAAGTGTAAACTTGCATTTAACTGTGGTATCCTTTACAATAATTCACCTCCTGCTTTGTTTTTTGGTTCTGTTTTTCCTCGGTCCCCTCACACAGGGATTGCAAACCACTTCTGCTATGGAAGCCAGGAAGATGCTCATGAATTCCTGCGGTGCACAGTGGATGCTATGCAAAGGTCCTGCTTACCTGGAACCAAGTGAGTGTCATTTTACATTGCATGCATTCTAAACAAGTTAAACACACAAAAATATTTTACTTGGGCTTGACAGTGTTTGCACTTTATTATGTAGTAAGATCCATAATTAGCTACGTAGAGGTAACACCGTGACAGTAGGAGAATATGAAATAAATCCTTTATCCTGTTTTTCAGGAAGTGCAGTTTATACTAGTTCCTTTTAACTATTAATGCTTCAATTGCTGAGAGTATTTTTCAGAAATGCAGATTCCTCAGTCTCTTGCCGGACTGACACCTCAGTTTACATACTAGGCAAGCCACTTGATATAATACCTCATTATTATATCAAGTTTTTTAATGAACTTGACTGCTCCAACACAGAAAGTATTCTTACACTGGGTGTGGTAGCTTGTTTTGGTAACAGGGCTTGAAAAGATCAGAAGCGGCTTAAACGTGTAGTAAAACAGGTGTCTGGGATTATGGCAGAGAGCTGCCAGACTTAGTGTCTAGTATAGATTTCTTCTGAGGCAACAGGGTAAGCAGTGTGAGCAGGAGCACTCAACCCCTCAGGTCATCTCTTATTCACCCTAATGGCATTAGTGCTATTATTGCAGCAGCAAAATTCAGAAAATCCAGGTTTTTCTATGTGTTACTATAGAGCTTCGAAGTCTATGTGCACATTTAACCAAAACTACACGTTTAACAGATGCACTGGGCTGAGTGTTGTGCTTCTTGTTAGACTCCTAAAATAATTTATTAATTCATTTATTTTTTTAAGAACCTAAAGTGTCAATTCTCATCAAATCAATTCTTCCCGTGTAGCAGCAGATGACCTCTTAAGTAATTAATCGTGCTCCAATTCCTCCTATTGTCTTTTCTGCTACTTGAATACTGTAAAGTGATTGTCTGGTTCCAAAATGCTAAAAAATAAATGGTCAGTCAGTTAATTGTTGCACTGTCCTTATTAGTTAACTTTTGTGCTTTATCTTTTTATTATAGATTGGACAGGCAAACGCAGGCAACCTCTTTCATCCATCAAGTGTTTGGCGGGTACCTAAGATCCAGAGGTAAGTCACTGTTTTTTAAGGTTTGATTTATTTTTCTTTTATTTGTCTTTTTATGTCTTACAGCTTGTGTGATACTCATAGCACTGATTTCTGTTTCAGTTAAATGTTTAAACTGCAAAGCTGTCTCAGATACATTTGACCCTTTTCTGGATGTCACTCTGGAAATTAAGGTAATTGGACAACATTCAAAGTGACGTTGCTACTATGTATTCTCTGCATTATGGAGTGTGAGGTTTTTCCTCTCTCTCTCTGTTCATATAGACTGCTCCAAATGTCTCCAAAGCTCTGGAGCAGTTTGTCAAGCCAGAACAGCTGGGTGGTGAAAATGCTTATAAATGCACCAAGTAAGTCAAAGAGATGCCAAACCATGATGAGTTTTAGTGTTTAGGTGTGATTTTTGTCAACAAGCTGAATGTTTGTTTCCTTCAGGTGCAACAAAATGGTAACGGCCTCAAAAAGATTTACAATCCATCGCAGCGCCAATGTGCTCACCATCTCACTCAAACGCTTTGCAGACTTCAGTGGAGGCAAAATCACAAAGGCAAATGGCCAATAGTGTCTGCTTAAGTCATAAAGATACATGACAGATGCTTTGTTTTATTATAAAACAGGATATTTGCATGTAATGTTTGAATTTTTTTGTTTGGTGGTCATCAGGATGTGAAGTATTTGGAGCATCTGGATCTGCGGCCCTTCATGTCGCAGTCCCACGGGGAGCCCCAGCTCTACAGGCTGTATGCTGTGCTGGTTCACTCTGGATTGAGTTGTCATACTGGACACTATTTCTGCTATATTAAGGTACTGGCTGTGCCCGAATCTGTTTGAATGCTGCTGTTGCGTAGTACAAACAAACAAACACCATAAACAACACATTTCAGCAGAAAACTACTTTGTATGCATTGAAAGAAAGAAAAAAAAGACCCCTATATAACCATAAGATTCTTCTTTTTAGCTCAAATTCAATTCAGAAACTGAATCTGCTGTGTCACATCTCTCTCATTCTGTCTCACAGGCCAGCAATGAGCAGTGGTTTCAGATGAATGACTCGTCCGTGTCAGTCAGTGACATTAGCACTGTTCTCAACCAGCAGGCCTATGTCCTCTTCTACATCAAGTGAGTAAACATCGGTATTTTTAAACATTCTAGGCTTATTCCTTCAGTAGAACTTTTCCCATCATTATTTAATAATGTAGACATGTTTATTCTCACTTTTCTTGTAGAAAATGTATTATTATAACCTAATGTTATAATGTTGATGCTTTGTCATGGTTAATATTCTTTTTCCATGTCATCAGGTGCACAGATGTGGGAAAAACTGGGGACTACAGCCACTTGAACCATAACGCTGGCATATCTGGTCAGGCATCTCCCCAGCCGGTGGTGAGCCCAGGCACCATCGCCACCATGCCTCACAACAGTGTTGGCTTCATAGGTCCCCAGCTGCCACCACACATGAACAAGGTACTTCCTCACCTGAGGGTACTGATAATGTTGTTGTTTTTGTTAAACCCAGTGTTTCATGCAAAACACATTTGTACCTTTCAATTGTGTCTGTTTGAAAAGAATGAAATGATATCATATATTCCTTATTGGCCTACATTTGTACAAAATTCCAAATTATATACACAAAGTCATAGAAATCACTGCTCCAATTGGTCATCATGATTTTAATATTCTCTTTTCCATAACAATGAAATACGCCTTGGACAAATATGACACGTCAATATTTCATTAGTGTTGTCACATCACATCCTGTAAGCATCGTCTGTCTGTGTCCTTTCTCTGGAAATTAATATTTCCAGCCAATATAGGCAATCCATCAACATGGCTGGAGAGTTGGTAGTTATATACAGTCTGTATAAGTGTGGTTAATCCAATGAAGATTTGTAAGGAGATGGCAGTTACTGTGAATTTACAGCAGTTACACAGTGATTAGTAATAAACAGAGCCAGTGAGAGTGAGTGGATATAAGAAAGTCAGTGACTCAGGTGTGTCGATTGGTTCTGTTTGTGAGACTGGAGGAGACGTAGAAATCTTTTGTTTAAATCTTAGTTAGGAAGATTCCTGTTTGAAAACAAGCACTTTTTGTGAGAAATACAAGAAGTACATCTGCAGAAAGCACACAGTTACATTCTGTCCATCATGTGGACAAAATCGAAAATGTTGAGCATTGAAAAACTGAGAACGTTGGGCAAGTTCAAAATACGTGTTTGTAAGAACGAAAAACCAAATTGTTCCTAAAATAGTTATGGAAAGTCACTGTTGTATGTCTGTGTTCTACATGTTTATCTGATGGAAAATAAAGGTGCTATTGTTTTATTGCAGTTTCTTGACAATTCTGAGTGGATTTACACAGTATGGGTCAAAATGACCCGCAACAAAATCAATGTCACTTTTTTGTTTTTCAACATAATACAAGGGTTAATTTCCAAAACTTCCATATGATCTTCAATTTGTAGCAGATCCACTATCACACAGCAGCTGGAGCAGTTTCAAATGGAGGTCAGTCCACTGCTGCCACCTGTGGCCAAATACCATAGCCTACTACTAGATTAACTTGCTATGATGACATTGAGTAGAGGCTGAGTGGCTGCACTTACCCCTGGTACATCCAAATCTACCCACAAACATGTTGAAAGATGCAATGGCAGCAATGTGGCTTGTCAACACTGAAAACAATCAGTAAGCAAAGACATCAGGGATCACTTTTTTCTGTTTATTTAACATGCACAACATTTGTAGTCGCCTTCTGCACAGGGGAAGTCCACACACACTGTGTGGTACCACTTTCCACAGAAGGTGCATTCAATCTACAAGACTGAATGAGAAAGTCAGGGTCATTGTCTGACTGTTTATTACTAATCACTGTGTAACTGCTGTACATTCACAGTAACTGCCATCTCCTTACAAATGTTTATTAGATTAACCACACTTATACAGACTGTATATAACAACCAACTCTAAAATGTTTGTTCGCAGAGAAAAGACACAGACTACGGTAACGACATGTGATGTTACAAAACTAGTGAAATATTAGTGTCATTTCATTCATTTCAAAGGTTTATTTGCATGACGCACAAACAGACACAATTGAAAGGTACAAATGTATTGTGCATGAAACGAATTCAGACGTGCTGCAGATGTGTGTCACAAGTTGATCTGGCTGTAGGCTGTGGCACTTGGCCAGTGGTGGCACTGGTTGACTCGAGTCCATGTTAGTGCACACAAAGTAAACTGCTCGCTTTAGTTGTGAAGCAAAAACGCTGAATTCGGAGAAACAAACCGTGTGAGGGGAACGATAACGACAACAAGAGTCTCCCGATCGTTTACTCTTGTTGTCCTGTGAACAACATCGGCATGGTGTTAATTGTTTGCTGTTTTCGCGATCGCGTCGCGCATGAGGATAACCCTAGGTAAACTCGCCACATTTTTAAACATTTTGTTGTTCAACAGCATCAAGACTGACGGAGTGTGTTTGAGATAACCTCACAAGTGTCACAGATGACACATTTGGCGTTTTTTTGCTAGTCTGTAGGTAGCAGCTCCTGAAACGGAAGTCTGCCACACATCTGTTCGACTAACGCCAGTTGATCTAAACGCCAGTAGATCTGGAACACCGGCAGCCTCGCCTCTGTCAGTGCGCCTCAGGGCGGCTGTGGCTACAATTTAGCTTGCCATCACCAGTGTGTGTGAATGGGTGGATGACTGAACGTGTAAAGTGCTTTGGGGTCCTTAGGGACTAAGTAAAGCGCTATACAAATACAGGCCATTTACTTAATGCTGAAATCTAATCTATTGTATTAAATGGGTATGCTTGTAGTTTGGGTAATTTTGTTATGTCAACAAGTTCTGTTTTAAAACTTAATCTCTTGTTAACTGTTCAGATTGCTGAGGTGATTGATGATCGACCTGAGGAAGTGAAACAGATGGAAGTTTTTAGGACCAGCAACAGATGGAAAGCAATTGGAGGTAAATAAGAAGTCACAGAAGTAGGGGGGGATTTGTGCAATATTAAGTTAAGACTGTTGTTTACTATAGTTTTACTTCCTCTCCTAAAAGTGGATCAAAATGATGACACAGAGGAAGGAAATGGAAAAGAACATCAAAATACAGAGGCTGGCTCATTAAGCAGAGGTCGACATGACTCACCCGAGTTGTCTTCAAAGAGAAGAGGACAGGATTCTCCTGTCAAAAAGACCCGGCATGACTCTCCAGACATCTCTCCACCAAAGAGAAGTCGGAAGTACTCTCCGGATGTCTCTCCTCCCAGGACAAGACGTCACGACTCTCCAGATGTCTCTCCTCCCAGGACTAGACCTCACGACTCTCCAGATGTCTCTCCTCCCAGGAGAAGACGTCATGACTCTCCAGATGTCTCTCCTCCCAGGACTAGACCTCATGACTCTCCAGATGTCTCTCCTCCCAAGAGAAGACGCCACGACTCTCCAGATGTCTCTCCTCCCAGGAGAAGACGTCATGACTCTCCAGATGTCTCTCCTCCCAGGACTAGACCTCATGACTCTCCAGATGTCTCTCCTCCCAGGAGAAGACGTCATGACTCTCCAGATGTCTCTCCTCCCAGGACAAGACGTCACGACTCTCCTGATGTCTCTCCTCCCAGGACTAGACCTCACGACTCTCCAGATGTCTCTCCTCCCAAGAGAAGACGCCACGACTCTCCAGATGTCTCTCCTCCCAGGAGAAGACGTCATGACTCTCCAGATGTCTCTCCTCCCAGGACAAGACGTCATGACTCTCCAGATGTCTCTCCTCACAGGACTAGACCTCACGACTCTCCAGATGTCTCTCCTCCCAGGAGAAGACGTCACGACTCTCCTGATGTCTCTCCTCACAGGACTAGACCTCACGACTCTCCAGATGTCTCTCCTCCCAGGAGAAGAAGTCATGACTCTCCAGATCTCTCTCCTCCCAGGACTAGACATCACAACTCTCCAGATGTCTCTCCTCCCAAGAGAAGACGTCACGACTCTCCTGATGTCTCTCCTCCCAGGAGAAGACGTCACGACTCTCCTGATGTCTCTCCTCCCAGGAGAAGACGTCATGACTCTCCAGATGTCTCTCCTCCCAAGAGAAGACGTCACGACTCTCCTGATGTCTCTCCTCCCAGGAGAAGACGCCATGACTCCCCAGACTTGTCACCACCAAGACAGTGTTCAGGAAAGTCAGAAAAAATGCAAAGTAAAGGTCAGTGATCCATTTAAATTGTAAAGTGGAATCTGGTGTGGCATATGAATAAAAGTAAAAAGCAGAGACCCATTTAACATGAGTTTTGAATTGAAATTTATTTTAAAGACATAGCTTGATCTAATAATAAATCTTTAATTTTTGTTCAAAAGGCATTACAAAATGAAAATTAACAAATTAACTGTGTCTTTGTCAGATTCAGCCTCCAACAAAAGCAAGCTCAGCTCATCCTTGTTAAGTAAAAAACGCTCACCGGATCCTCATCGGTCAGCGGTGGCTAAGAAGGGTCAGAATAGACATGATTCAGACTCGGATCCGTCTCCCCCGAGGAAAAGGCCCCTGAAGGGAAACGCCTCAGACTCCGACCAATCTCCCCCAAGGAGGCCCTCAAAAACTAAACGGGGCTCAGACTCTGACCAGTCTCCACCCAGGGGGCAGCCACCGAGTGGAAGGGACTCGGATGGAGATTTGTCACCACCTCGTAGGCCAGGCCAGTCACAGGTAAGCAGACTGTGTTGGAACAAAGATTAATGTCAAATCTGATTTCACTCAAATGTTATATTTTTCAATTGTCTTTTTTTTTTTATAACCAGGGCCAAAGGATGCTATCTGGTGGAAAGGCAGGCCTGGTTTCTGTGGACATTCTAAGGAAAGAGCAAAAGGAGAACAGACGCAGAGAAAAACACAATCAGCCACTTGAAGGTTTCATCAACTTTTCTCTCTTAAGATTTTTTTACACCCATTGATTGAAGAGCTTCATACAGCTTTGCATCTCATTTCAGCTTATCATCTATATTGTCGTATTTTATTTAGTCCTAAAATTAAATAATGAAGTTTCTACATACTTACCCATTCATCCCCTTTGACCAGATGAATCGCGTAACGCTCAGGCGATTTTCAGAGACAAAAGTGGCAAAAGCAGGGATCTGAATTCAGAGAGAAATGAACAGAAAAAGAAAGCTGGTGAAAAAGCGGCAACAGACGAGAAATACGCTCAGTGGGGAAAACGGTAAATGTGCATGATCATTTCAAATATCACAGTTTATGTGATTATATCCACATAAAAAATTATAAAAGTGGTTCAATGGTTTATGTTAAAATGTATGTATAGGTTGGCACAGATCCAGATGCATCACCAGAAACTTAAGGAAGCGCTGCGCGAAGCCCTTAAGCCACTTGAGGATCTTGACCGCATGTTGAGAGAACAGGAAAGAGAAGGCGATCCTATGGCTGCAATGCGCAGGCGTAAAAAGGACCGTGGCACAAAAACACAAGATATTTAACTCAAAGAGAAGAGGACAGGATTCTCCTGTCAAAAAGACCCGGCATGACTCTCCAGACATCTCTCCACCAAAGAGAAGTCGGAAGTACTCTCCGGATGTCTCTCCTCCCAGGACAAGACGTCACGACTCTCCAGATGTCTCTCCTCCCAGGACTAGACCTCACGACTCTCCAGATGTCTCTCCTCCCAGGAGAAGACGTCACGACTCTCCAGATGTCTCTCCTCCCAGGACTAGACCTCATGACTCTCCAGATGTCTCTCCTCCCAAGAGAAGACGCCACGACTCTCCAGATGTCTCTCCTCCCAGGAGAAGACGTCATGACTCTCCAGATGTCTCTCCTCCCAGGACTAGACCTCATGACTCTCCAGATGTCTCTCCTCCCAAGAGAAGACGCCACGACTCTCCAGATGTCTCTCCTCCCAGGACTAGACCTCATGACTCTCCAGATGTCTCTCCTCCCAAGAGAAGACGTCATGACTCTCCAGATGTCTCTCCTCCCAGGAGAAGACGTCATGACTCTCCAGATGTCTCTCCTCACAGGACTAGACCTCATGACTCTCCAGATGTCTCTCCTCCCAGGAGAAGACGTCATGACTCTCCAGATGTCTCTCCTCCCAGGACAAGACGTCACGACTCTCCTGATGTCTCTCCTCCCAGGACTAGACCTCACGACTCTCCAGATGTCTCTCCTCCCAAGAGAAGACGCCACGACTCTCCAGATGTCTCTCCTCCCAGGAGAAGACGTCATGACTCTCCAGATGTCTCTCCTCCCAGGACAAGACGTCACGACTCTCCTGATGTCTCTCCTCCCAGGACTAGACCTCATGACTCTCCAGATGTCTCTCCTCCCAAGAGAAGACGTCATGACTCTCCAGATGTCTCTCCTCCCAGGAGAAGACGTCACGACTCTCCTGATGTCTCTCCTCACAGGACTAGACCTCACGACTCTCCAGATGTCTCTCCTCCCAGGAGAAGAAGTCATGACTCTCCAGATCTCTCTCCTCCCAGGACTAGACATCACAACTCTCCAGATGTCTCTCCTCCCAGGAGAAGACGTCACGACTCTCCTGATGTCTCTCCTCCCAGGAGAAGACGTCATGACTCTCCAGATGTCTCTCCTCCCAAGAGAAGACGTCACGACTCTCCAGATGTCTCTCCTCCCAGGAGAAGACGCCATGACTCCCCAGACTTGTCACCACCAAGACAGTGTTCAGGAAAGTCAGAAAAAATGCAAAGTAAAGGTCAGTGATCCATTTAAATTGTAAAGTGGAATCTGGTGTGGCATATGAATAAAAGTAAAAAGCAGAGACCCATTTAACATGAGTTTTGAATTGAAATTTATTTTAAAGACATAGCTTGATCTAATAATAAATCTTTAATTTTTGTTCAAAAGGCATTACAAAATGAAAATTAACAAATTAACTGTGTCTTTGTCAGATTCAGCCTCCAACAAAAGCAAGCTCAGCTCATCCTTGTTAAGTAAAAAACGCTCACCGGATCCTCATCGGTCAGCGGTGGCTAAGAAGGGTCAGAATAGACATGATTCAGACTCGGATCCGTCTCCCCCGAGGAAAAGGCCCCTGAAGGGAAACGCCTCAGACTCCGACCAATCTCCCCCAAGGAGGCCCTCAAAAACTAAACGGGGCTCAGACTCTGACCAGTCTCCACCCAGGGGGCAGCCACCGAGTGGAGGGGACTCGGATGGAGATTTGTCACCACCTCGTAGGCCAGGCCAGTCACAGGTAAGCAGACTGTGTTGGAACAAAGATTAATGTCAAATCTGATTTCACTCAAATGTTATATTTTTCAATTGTCTTTTTTTTTTTATAACCAGGGCCAAAGGATGCTATCTGGTGGAAAGGCAGGCCTGGTTTCTGTGGACATTCTAAGGAAAGAGCAAAAGGAGAACAGACGCAGAGAAAAACACAATCAGCCACTTGAAGGTTTCATCAACTTTTCTCTCTTAAGATTTTTTTACACCCATTGATTGAAGAGCTTCATACAGCTTTGCATCTCATTTCAGCTTATCATCTATATTGTCGTATTTTATTTAGTCCTAAAATTAAATAATGAAGTTTCTACATACTTACCCATTCATCCCCTTTGACCAGATGAATCGCGTAACGCTCAGGCGATTTTCAGAGACAAAAGTGGCAAAAGCAGGGATCTGAATTCAGAGAGAAATGAACAGAAAAAGAAAGCTGGTGAAAAAGCGGCAACAGACGAGAAATACGCTCAGTGGGGAAAACGGTAAATGTGCATGATCATTTCAAATATCACAGTTTATGTGATTATATCCACATAAAAAATTATAAAAGTGGTTCAATGGTTTATGTTAAAATGTATGTATAGGTTGGCACAGATCCAGATGCATCACCAGAAACTTAAGGAAGCGCTGCGCGAAGCCCTTAAGCCACTTGAGGATCTTGACCGCATGTTGAGAGAACAGGAAAGAGAAGGCGATCCTATGGCTGCAATGCGCAGGCGTAAAAAGGACCGTGGCACAAAAACACAAGATATTTAACTCAAAGAGAAGAGGACAGGATTCTCCTGTCAAAAAGACCCGGCATGACTCTCCAGACATCTCTCCACCAAAGAGAAGTCGGAAGTACTCTCCGGATGTCTCTCCTCCCAGGACAAGACGTCACGACTCTCCAGATGTCTCTCCTCCCAGGACTAGACCTCACGACTCTCCAGATGTCTCTCCTCCCAGGAGAAGACGTCATGACTCTCCAGATGTCTCTCCTCCCAGGACTAGACCTCATGACTCTCCAGATGTCTCTCCTCCCAAGAGAAGACGCCACGACTCTCCAGATGTCTCTCCTCCCAGGAGAAGACGTCATGACTCTCCAGATGTCTCTCCTCCCAGGACTAGACCTCATGACTCTCCAGATGTCTCTCCTCCCAGGAGAAGACGTCATGACTCTCCAGATGTCTCTCCTCCCAGGACAAGACGTCACGACTCTCCTGATGTCTCTCCTCCCAGGACTAGACCTCACGACTCTCCAGATGTCTCTCCTCCCAAGAGAAGACGCCACGACTCTCCAGATGTCTCTCCTCCCAGGAGAAGACGTCATGACTCTCCAGATGTCTCTCCTCCCAGGACAAGACGTCACGACTCTCCTGATGTCTCTCCTCCCAGGACTAGACCTCATGACTCTCCAGATGTCTCTCCTCCCAAGAGAAGACGTCATGACTCTCCAGATGTCTCTCCTCACAGGACTAGACCTCACGACTCTCCAGATGTCTCTCCTCCCAGGAGAAGACGTCACGACTCTCCTGATGTCTCTCCTCACAGGACTAGACCTCACGACTCTCCAGATGTCTCTCCTCCCAGGAGAAGAAGTCATGACTCTCCAGATCTCTCTCCTCCCAGGACTAGACATCACAACTCTCCAGATGTCTCTCCTCCCAAGAGAAGACGTCACGACTCTCCTGATGTCTCTCCTCCCAGGAGAAGACGTCACGACTCTCCTGATGTCTCTCCTCCCAGGAGAAGACGTCATGACTCTCCAGATGTCTCTCCTCCCAAGAGAAGACGTCACGACTCTCCAGATGTCTCTCCTCCCAGGAGAAGACGCCATGACTCCCCAGACTTGTCACCACCAAGACAGTGTTCAGGAAAGTCAGAAAAAATGCAAAGTAAAGGTCAGTGATCCATTTAAATTGTAAAGTGGAATCTGGTGTGGCATATGAATAAAAGTAAAAAGCAGAGACCCATTTAACATGAGTTTTGAATTGAAATTTATTTTAAAGACATAGCTTGATCTAATAATAAATCTTTAATTTTTGTCCAAAAGGCATTACAAAATGAAAATTAACAAATTAACTGTGTCTTTGTCAGATTCAGCCTCCAACAAAAGCAAGCTCAGCTCATCCTTGTTAAGCAAAAAACGCTCACCGGATCCTCATCGGTCAGCGGTGGCTAAGAAGGGTCAGAATAGACATGATTCAGACTCGGATCCGTCTCCCCCGAGGAAAAGGCCCCTGAAGGGAAACGCCTCAGACTCCGACCAATCTCCCCCAAGGAGGCCCTCAAAAACTAAACGGGGCTCAGACTCTGACCAGTCTCCACCCAGGGGGCAGCCACCGAGTGGAAGGGACTCGGATGGAGATTTGTCACCACCTCGTAGGCCAGGCCAGTCACAGGTAAGCAGACTGTGTTGGAACAAAGATTAATGTCAAATCTGATTTCACTCAAATGTTATATTTTTCAATTGTCTTTTTTTTTTTATAACCAGGGCCAAAGGATGCTATCTGGTGGAAAGGCAGGCCTGGTTTCTGTGGACATTCTAAGGAAAGAGCAAAAGGAGAACAGACGCAGAGAAAAACACAATCAGCCACTTGAAGGTTTCATCAACTTTTCTCTCTTAAGATTTTTTTACACCCATTGATTGAAGAGCTTCATACAGCTTTGCATCTCATTTCAGCTTATCATCTATATTGTCGTATTTTATTTAGTCCTAAAATTAAATAATGAAGTTTCTACATACTTACCCATTCATCCCCTTTGACCAGATGAATCGCGTAACGCTCAGGCGATTTTCAGAGACAAAAGTGGCAAAAGCAGGGATCTGAATTCAGAGAGAAATGAACAGAAAAAGAAAGCTGGTGAAAAAGCGGCAACAGACGAGAAATACGCTCAGTGGGGAAAACGGTAAATGTGCATGATCATTTCAAATATCACAGTTTATGTGATTATATCCACATAAAAAATTATAAAAGTGGTTCAATGGTTTATGTTAAATGTATGTATAGGTTGGCACAGATCCAGATGCATCACCAGAAACTTAAGGAAGCGCTGCGCGAAGCCCTTAAGCCACTTGAGGATCTTGACCGCATGTTGAGAGAACAGGAAAGAGAAGGCGATCCTATGGCTGCAATGCGCAGGCGTAAAAAGGACCGTGGCACAAAAACACAAGATATTTAACTCAAAGAGAAGAGGACAGGATTCTCCTGTCAAAAAGACCCGGCATGACTCTCCAGACATCTCTCCACCAAAGAGAAGTCGGAAGTACTCTCCGGATGTCTCTCCTCCCAGGACAAGACGTCACGACTCTCCAGATGTCTCTCCTCCCAGGACTAGACCTCACGACTCTCCAGATGTCTCTCTCCTCCCAGGACAAGACGTCACGACTCTCCTGATGTCTCTCCTCCAGGACTAGACCTCATGACTCTCCAGATGTCTCTCCTCCCAAGAAGACGCACGACTCTCCAGATGTCTCTCCTCCAGGAGAACGTCATGACTCTCCAGATGTCTCTCCTCCCAGACTAGACTCATGACTCTCCAGATGTCTCTCCTCCCAGAGAAGACGTCATGACTCTCCAGATGTCTCTCCTCCCAGGAGAAGACGTCATGACTCTCCAGATGTCCCTCCCAGGAGAAGACGTCATGACTCTCCAGATGTCTCTCCTCCCAGGACTAGACCTCACGACTCTCCAGATGTCTTTCCTCCCAGGAGAAGACGTCATGACTCTCCTGATGTCTCTCCTCCCAGGACTAGACCTCACGACTCTCCAGATGTCTCTCCTCCCAGGAGAAGACGTCATGACTCTCCAGATGTCTCTCCTCCCAGGACTAGACCTCATGACTCTCCAGATGTCTCTCCTCCCAAGAGAAGACGTCACGACTCTCCTGTTGTCTCTCCTCCAAGAGAAGACGTCACGACTCCTGTTCTCCTCCAGAGAAGACGTCATGACTCTCCAGATGTCTCTCCTCCCAGGACTAGACCTCACGACTCTCCTGATGTCTCTCCTCCCAGGAGAAGACGTCACGACTCTCCTGATGTCTCTCCTCACAGGACTAGACCTCATGACTCTCCAGATGTCTCTCCTCCCAGGACTAGACATCACAACTCTCCAGATGTCTCTCCTCCCAAGAGAAGACGTCACGACTCTCCTGATGTCTCTCCTCCCAGGAGAAGACGTCATGACTCTCCAGATGTCTCTCCTCCCAAGAGAAGACGTCACGACTCTCCAGATGTCTCTCCTCCCAGGAGAAGACGCCATGACTCCCCAGACTTGTCACCACCAAGACAGTGTTCAGGAAAGTCAGAAAAAATGCAAAGTAAAGGTCAGTGATCCATTTAAATTGTAAAGTGGAATCTGGTGTGGCATATGAATAAAAGTAAAAAGCAGAGACCCATTTAACATGAGTTTTGAATTGAAATTTATTTTAAAGACATAGCTTGATCTAATAATAAATCTTTAATTTTTGTTCAAAGGCATTACAAAATGAAAATTAACAAATTAACTGTGTCTTTGTCAGATTCAGCCTCCAACAAAAGCAAGCTCAGCTCATCCTTGTTAAGTAAAAAACGCTCACCGGATCCTCATCGGTCAGCGGTGGCTAAGAAGGGTCAGAATAGACATGATTCAGACTCGGATCCGTCTCCCCCGAGGAAAAGGCCCTGAAGGGAAACGCCTCAGACTCCGACCAATCTCCCCCAAGGAGGCCCTCAAAAACTAAACGGGGCTCAGACTCTGACCAGTCTCCACCCAGGGGGCAGCCACCGAGTGGAAGGGACTCGGATGGAGATTTGTCACCACCTCGTAGGCCAGGCCAGTCACAGGTAAGCAGACTGTGTTGGAACAAAGATTAATGTCAAATCCGATTTCACTCAAATGTTATATTTTTCAATTGTCTTTATTTTTTATAACCAGGGCCAAAGGATGCTATCTGGTGGAAAGGCAGGCCTGGTTTCTGTGGACATTTTAAGGAAAGAGCAAAAGGAGAACAGACGCAGAGAAAAACACAATCAGCCACTTGAAGGTTTCATCAACTTTTCTCTCTTAAGATTTTTTTACACCCATTGATTGAAGAGCTTCATACAGCTTTGCATCTCATTTCAGCTTATCATCTATATTGTCGTATTTTATTTAGTCCTAAAATTAAATAATGAAGTTTCTACATACTTACCCATTCATCCCCTTTGACCAGATGAATCGCGTAACGCTCAGGCGATTTTCAGAGACAAAAGTGGCAAAAGCAGGGATCTGAATTCAGAGAGAAATGAACAGAAAAAGAAAGCTGGTGAAAAAGCGGCAAGAGACGAGAAATACGCTCAGTGGGGAAAACGGTAAATGTGCATGATCATTTCAAATATCACAGTTTATGTGATTATATCCACATAAAAAATTATAAAAGTGGTTCAATGGTTTATGTTAAAATGTATGTATAGGTTGGCACAGATCCAGATGCATCACCAGAAACTTAAGGAAGCGCTGCGCGAAGCCCTTAAGCCACTTGAGGATCTTGACCGCATGTTGAGAGAACAGGAAAGAGAAGGCGATCCTATGGCTGCAATGCGCAGGCGTAAAAAGGACCGTGGCACAAAAACACAAGATATTTAACATTACATATGTTTTATTTTATTTATGACTTTATTTTATTTCACCAGGTCAATCCTTGTAAGAAGCTTTTAAATAGCAGCAGTTTTGTTTTTGCTACTGTTTGTATTTTTATTTATTTGTATGTTTGTTTTGATTTTTGTAGAGAAACCTCGATATAAAGGCCCTGCTCCACCTCCAAACCGGTTCAATATTCCACCGGGGTACCGCTGGGACGGAGTTGACAGGTAGAGTTTGTGCATCGGTGACAGAGGAAAACTGTTGAGGACAGAACTGTAGTTTAATATTGAATGTTTTTAATACACACATCAGTTTGTCATTTTGCACATTAATGGTAAAGA